CACAAATTGTGTGGAATCTAAGCTTGTTCGGCCACACATGTCGTCTGTGCATGCATGTTCAATCGTCTATGGCTCTAACCAACTTACCTCTACACTAGGTCAAGTCATCTGGCTTGACCTTGTCTCTACTCTGCGCCAAGGTCTCTTGTGTGTAACGTCGCATCTCAATCATTATCTTAGTTCCCAACAACACAACTCATATATTGTGATGTCATCCCATGTCTCGGGACAGCTCGATCGTCTTGATTTGCTTAGACATGTCTATCGGAACCGACCCATGTGTTGCTCATCTCATCGATCTGAGTTCTCATCGAGGTATGAACTCTCACGTATCCATGTCATGTCATTTTTGTGTATGATACAATTATATATACAAATATTTATTTTATTTTATTTTGTAACTATTTTTATTTTTTATTCTCCCACGATATTTAAAATAATTTTTAATTATTTGGAAAATAATATTTTAAAATATATACTCAAAATCAGTTGTAAAATTTGGTTTAAATATTTAAAAACAAATAGATAGATATTTTAGTGACCACATGAACCAATCAAACGAACGTTGTTGAATTGGGTTAGGTTGGGTTCATTATTTGATAAGGGTTGTTTAGGTGAAAAAATTTATAACTCAAATGATTGAGTTTGGTCTAAAAATGTCTCAACTTGATCCGACCCAACCGAACCCACGAACACATATAGAGGTCGGGTTATTACAATTGTATAAATATATATATATACGGAATGGAAAACGAGAAATACGGACATTATAAAGTCTTGAAAATAAGAAAACGTGACAAGACAAAGATGATGTTGACTAAAAGTCGATGTTGATGAAAATGGGACAAACCAAAGTCATCTTCAGCTCAGCTGTGTCTCGTTTTCACTCCCACTCGTTCTTTTAATCCTTCTCGATCCTATTTCAAAACTTTACATTTAGAGACCTATAAAAGACCCAAACAAAAATTATTTCATACCAAAACTATTATTGGGTTTAAATATTTTTTTATGAAAACATCCATTTTTGTTTTAAATTTTGACAAAGACTAAGGACCCATCTCATTTATTTTTATTTTATTTTAAATAAATAATTTAATTTTAATTTTAATTTTAACTTTAATGGTATGGCCATTGGGACCAAAGAGTTGAAATCTTGGAAGACAAGGATGAGATGGAACAGTGACCGACCTATGTTCTAGCTTTTCACCTCAAAAATGGTACCATTTTTTTCTTATGCTATTCTTTGCTGTCATTTTAGTTATGATGGTAGGATTAGCTGGATTGCATTTAACACGAGCATTGCACGTTGGAGTTCTTGAACTCGTTAGTTTACGTTTTTTGAGTAGGGGTGTAATGAGTTGGGTTGGAAAAATCTTTTAGACCAACCTGGAAATTTCGTGATGGTTAGGTTGGTGACTTAAACAACCCGAATAGAGTTCTGTGAGTTCTCACGTTGGTTGGAGTGAGGAACAAAACATTTCTTATAATAGTGTGGAACCTCTCCCTAATAGACGCATTTTAAAACTATAAGACTGATAGCGATACGTGATGGACTAAAAAGGAAAATATCTACTAATGGTGGGCTTGAGGTATTACAAATGGTATTAGAGCCATATATTGGGCGGTGTGCTAGCGAGAACGTAGGCCCCCAAGGGAGGTGGATTGTGAGATCTCGCATCGGTTTAGAGGAGAATGAAGCATTTCTTATAAAGGTGTAGAAATCTCTCTCTTGTAGACGCGTTTTAAAACCATGAGGTTGATGGTGATACTTAACAGACAAAAGCGGATAATATCTGTTAATGGTGACGTTGCTGCGTTATTACAAGTTCACAAGAAAAAAATTCTATTTATACGGTTATATTAATAACTAAAATCTCATAAAATTCAAATATCAAACATTTACAAATCACAATGCTACTAACCTCGGTCACAGACATTAAGTATTCTTAACCTTTTTAAAAATATTGTAGGGATTGGTTGAGTTATAACCTTGTTTTTGGGTCGGACAAAAAAGATATCAACTTACAAAACCGAACAGAATTTTCAATTTTACAAAAATTCAACCTAACACCCAAATCGAATAAAATCCAACACAACCTAACTTTTATGGTTTTGATTAGGTAGTCTTAGTTAGTCGGATTATTCGATCATATGAACATCAACTTTCGAACATAGTTCAAGTTATTTGTTTATAACAAAAAAATTATATTATTTCATGATTCGACCAAATTTAAGAGATTAAATGTTTGTGTTTTTTTTATAGGTGTTTGTTTGAATACGGTTACCTTGATCATAATTTGATATCTTTAAGAAAAAAAGAAGAGAAAAACGTCTTGACCTATTCGGGAAAATGATGGTATGATGGTATGATGGTAGGATTAGTTGTATTGCACTCAACTCGTGCATTGAATGTAGTTGTCTTTTATTTATGTCCGAGTGTTATTTCTATATTTTAACTTTTTAAATCTTATTATATTAATTACGTGACACTCGAGTAATGAGCGGTATATGAATGAACTGAGACCACATCTGAATAAGAACGATCATGAGTAAATCCCTTGTATCGGTAATAAAAGTTACCATACTTGTCCTAGTTCACCGTAAAAACACATTCATGACAAACCCTAATTACTTTTTACTTTTTCTCCACGTTCTTGTCTCTTTGCAAAATAACATGAAAAGTGATCGATTTGTGCCATGATCGATATTATAGCTAACCTTCCATGATTATTAAATAATTGTGTGTGGATTATCAAGAGAGAGCGATATATTTACATCCATATGAAAGATTAAGATTGATGTACGATATATAACTACGATTTAGGAAAGTAAGTATATATGTGATACCCAAGTAAAATATGGTACAAGAATGAACGAGACCACATCTAAATGAGAGTGGTCATGAGGATATAATAGAGCATGTTTGATTTAGAATAATTTTATGTTGGGTGACTTTCTGAAAATTTATCAAGAAAGTATATCAGCGAAAATAAAGCACGTTAAAAGAAACTGTGTTGGTTTGTTGGAACAATATTCACTCTTATAAGAAGTTCAAACAAGCAGGTAATGTGTTCATGTGTATAGCCCAAGCCTACCGCTTTTAAAACGCTTATAAGTAATGTTACATATCGGCTCGTTACATATCGTTCTCAACCTCACAATTTTAAAACGTGTCTACTAGGGAGAGGTTTGGACACCCTTATAAGTAATGTTATGTTCCCCTCTCCAACCGATGTGGGATGTCACATCATGTCATGATAGAATGTTGAGACTTTTTCGGTATTCGAATCCAGATTTTGTATTCTAGTCTGAATCCTGAGTATGTGACATTACGAATGGTATCAAGGTGAAATCTCTCCTAGTAAGATGTGGTTTAAGGATGAACCAAGGTGAAAGATAGTGGACATGTAACGTCTGAATAAACGAGGAGTACATAAATGAACATTTACCAATAAGGTGCATCTTTCTGTCCTGTGACTCAATAATAAAAACTTTAAAGTTTAGTATATTTGGCTTAGAGTAATTTTAGGTTGAAAAACCTCTTTGAAATTTTCTTTAGAAGCATGTGAATGAGAACAAAGCATACTAAAAGAACTCGGGTTAGTTTTTATAAGTAGATAAAGTGATCATATTACAAGAAATACAAAGAATGTTACGGACATCAAGTGCCTAATCCATACCCTAAATCTTTTTCTAAGTCTAAGAAGTGGAGTATTATAATACAAATCTCGGAGCTGAAATCTTTTTTCTATTAATATTTTGACATCGAAAACGAATATTTAAAGGAATTGGTTACTTAAAGTAGTCAAAATTCAACACAAACAACTAAAATGATGCCCGAAAGGTTACTTTATTTTGTTAATGAAAAGACTTCTAGAGGAGAGAAAAGGTTAAGAGCTATGTTCTTAATCTATGTCATAAGATTTGAATGATTCAATAGATTACATTTCAATGATAAAGTAAGAAGGAATAGAAATTAACATATAAACCGTGCCTAGAGGACATAAAGGTGACCTATATATATAGCCAATAACCTTATGATTTGAAAAGTGTGATAAAATTTTGACGGGGGCATTTCAAAACATTAGACTATTCTTTATACCTCACTTGTGACAGAACAAATCTGAATGAGTCTCTCTGACAAATCAATGGCATTCCCACAAATAAGAATGCTCACCATGCCGTCCTCCAAAGAGTTCACAATATTAATGAAATATTAGGATCAAATCTTAATCATAGTCTAGTTCACTAAACATGAAAAATTTTATATTCATATAATATTAGAATGGAGCTAATGCATAAAAACTTAGGTTAGAACAGACAAAGATATTAAAAAAAAAATAGAGAGCAAAAGAGAATTATAACTTAAGACGATAGTTAGACTTCATGTTATATCAGCATTGATAATGGCAAAAAAACTAGTGATGTTTTACCTTGATGGTTTGACAATGTTTACAGAAGACACTTCACACTCAATAAGATTTCGATATAATATATCGTCTCCATATTGATAGTTTGATAGACGTTTAAATCACGCCTAAAAGACAGGTTCAAGCACATAAGTTTTTCTCCGTGCAATGAAAGAGTTTAGACATTCTAGTAAAGAAGGGAAAAGCTAGTCCTAAACAAGTTTGAATTTTAAAATATTTGGAGTTCATTGATGTTAGATGCTTATAGATGGGCTTTACTGCCCTTAATGTATCGTCTGCATAACAAGTGCCATGTGAAATTGTTGAAGAAATGAATCATCGACCCTACAAAAACACTAGAAATCTCTATCTAAGTTGCACATAGCCCAAAGGGAGCTGTGTTCATCTTCGATTTCAACAACTTTTGACATGCAGTATAGTAACGACTTTAGCCTCTAAATTTTTTTTTTTTTAAAAGTTGGGCTTCTACACTCTTTGTGCGAACATTCAAAAGAGTAGACAAGATAATATATAATATATTCTTCACATCCGACTGCAACACCATCAAGCTCCAAATTAGTCTAAACGGAGTTAAAAAGATAAATCCACTTATTTTTTTTAACTTGCAAGTTGATTTGAAACAAATCAAGGTAGAGTTATAAGGTATATATAAATTGAAATTGAATTCAACGTATAAAATATGCCAAAAAGAGTATGTTAATTGAAAAATCAAATGAGCAGAAGAAGAAATGTACTTGACACACTTCAAATGGATGCATCCTTTTCCTCTTAAAAAACAACAGTCCTGTTTTCCTCGTATGGCAAAACGCGCAGCTCACAGTATGATTTAATTGCATTCGTTAGACATTGCTTTTCTAAGGTCTCTGACTTCTGCACAAAACTCTGCAAATTATCTCTGTGGGAAACTCTCTCAACCTGATAATTTTGAACAAAAACTTAGTGGTTATATTAATGAAAAGAAAATGGCAACCAACATGTTCGCAAGGACAATCCATGGACTGCGTATTTAATAGTTTTTTAGAAAAACAAGGGTTAAGAATGACTTGATTAAACATCCAAGAATTTATAAAAAGAAAAAAAGAAGGGTAGAGGAGGAGAGGAGAGGCATGGTTCTAAAATAAAGAACAAGAATTAAACACCCAAGAATTTATAAAAAGAAAAAAGGAGTAGAGGAGCAGGCTATGTTCAGAGATAAAGAACAAGGAAATAGACAACATGCAGATTAGTTGCATCAAACAATCTAAAAGATACCATCTGTTCAATGATTGGTCCAGCATCGAGTTCTTCTGTCACAAAATGGCTTGTAGCACCAATTAACTTCACGCCAGCATTAAACGCCTGTCAATGAAATCTAACAGATAAAAGATGCATTGACAGTTACAGAAAAAAGAAACAAAATGGGAGTTGGGGAGGGGGAGTTGATGGCTTGTGTAACTTGCCTGTTTTGAAGGATTACTACCCTTGAATGAAGGCAGAAGACCATGGTGGATGTTAATTACATCATTTCTGTAGCTCCTCAAGAAATTACCAGACAATACCTGCAGAAGAAATTTGATAATTGCCAGGATTAGATCTTGAATTGCTCAATGAATCAATTAACACTAAGAAATTGAATTAAGATTTACTTTTCAACAAGACAGAACTTCATAATTAACTAATTTTTTTTCTAAAGAATTCAGCTGGTACGACTACGAATGCATAGGTATTATGATCCAATTTACCTGCATATACCTGGCGAGTACTAAAAAATCAGTATTCTTCACCAATTCCAATATCTCTCCTTCTCTTTTATTATCATTGTATGTGTGCAAATAATGATAAGCAATACCATGCCTTTCAAGAAATCGCATCACGTGGGTGTTGGGGGCTCTATCGTGATTACTGAAACAAGTGGATTGAGAAGAAAGGTCACGATACTTCGAAACAAATTAAAGAAGCAAGTTTCGGTTGACCTTATAACACAAGTTATTTCCACTGGAAGTTTCCCTCCTTGCCATTGATGAAGTAAGTCAACCAGACAATGATCCTGCAATGGGAAAAGTAAGTTAATCTCAAATATCCATGCAAACAAAAATGATTGACATGAAATTGACAGGTATATGTATACCTGTTTTGAAGCAAGAATTGCAATCTTATATTTGGGGTCTTGATCTGGTACTCGGACAACAGATTTCCAAGCGTTAAATGTTTTGGAAATCTTAAGGAAGTCTTCATCCATTTGCATCCTAGGCCATTTACAAGGATCAAAAAGAAACTGGCTGCACATAAAACGAAAGTCAGACACAGGTGGTGGTTCAAGCTAGAATTTCAAGTAGAGTTTTCGCTTTCAGCATAGTGCACTAGAGAAATCCAAATTGCTTCCTTGAAGATATAAAGTTCAATAGGGCATTCATCACAGCCAAGTTAATGGCCATAAAACTAAAAACTGTATTAGTTTATTCCAGAAAAAAACAGGTGCACAGCGTAGCATACATAATCTCACTAGGGAGCAGTATGTGTACAATCGGAATACTCTTTTATTTCAAGTTACAAATGCGAGTCATGAATTACATTCTTGAACACAAGACTAGAAATGTTCTCTCATCAACCACTCTTAAGACTTCCATGGATACCAAAGAAGAGCAGTTATAATGTTCTAAACTTCGCGAGAAATGTTTGGTAGCTTTTTAGGCATGCTTTTCATATATGCAAGAACTTCCACTGTTCCCAGAAAACAACAATAACAACGCTTTTTAAGAGTATCAAGTATGTAAGAACTTCCACTGTTCCCAGAAAGGAAAAAACAAAGTAAAATCATGATGTTCCTCTCAAATTGTAGTTACTAATGCAAGTCTTCAATAACATCCCAGAAAGCAGCAATTATGTCAGTATAATATTGCAGTTACTGATGCACGTCCTCAGTAACAGCCAGGAACACAAGATCAAATTTCACTCTTGAAAATTATGAGTAATCCTGATATACAATAAAAGGAGGACACGGCTTCTAGAGATACAAGAAAAAATGCAGTAGAAAATGAAATATGAGCATGGACGTCTTTCTTGACTCACCACATGGTCATGGAACATGTTGCTTGACGAGTTAAGCAATCGTAAAGTTCATATATTAAACCTGTCATAATCATTATCCTTTCATTTGTATCCACGTTTCCTAGGAAGACACGAAACAAAATAAAAGAACATCTTTTACTTTGAATGCGACAATTGTTGAGTAGATCAATTTAGCCTTATATGTAATTGCGTAAATTAGATTACAAAATTAAGGGGCTAAGTATACTGTGGCCGAGCAATGAGTCTTCTCCCAGCCTCTTCGCAACACTAGTCTATGGTTTTTTTTTTCCCCCACTAGCCATGGCATGGCCGAACCTTTGGCTCAGATACCCCTTGTCATGACGCTAAGTCCTTCAAGCCCCCAAACCGGGGCACCCTGCTAACCTAACGGTTCGCTGTAGCAGAGTAAGCTTCAAAAGCCCTTTCGAGATTCTTAGTCAAGCCTCAATGCCCTACAATCTTTCTAAAGAGCTAACGCCTTGACTTGAGATTTGACTTTGTAGATGTCAAGATAATAACAGACCTCTTTCTTTAATCTATAGCAAAAATACAAACCCCCTTGATAGGTTCTGGATGGATCATATTCTTTTTTGTTTAATTCAACAAAGACCCATAATAAGATAGAGACATCATTTAACAGGATCTTTAACAACAAAGATAACCCTTGGAACAATTTCTAGATGGCGTCTCTTTTGAATCTACTGACTACTTTTTAATGTAAACTTGTCTCTCCTTTTAACAATTACATTATCAAAACTCTGTGTCAATTGAGTGATTTATTTATTAGCTGGAGCTTGGCTTCCTTCCTTATGTTTATATTCATATGATCTATAAAACTCTTTTAAAGCACAGAATAAGAAAAGGGCAGTTACATAGTACAATAATATGAAATGATTTATTCAGAGACCACCATAAGCAAAAGAAGCCATAGATTACCTTCTGGAATAGAAGACGTTCTTGTTTTCAGGGACAAAAATATCGGCGCCGAGTATGTTTCCCCCTCTGGAAGCTATACATTCCGATAGCTTAGCAACGATTCCCATGGCATCCTATCACAAAACCAGTATAAATCGCACAAGCAATCTATCCTTCGTCTTTATATCCGATAATAGAGACATTTATATTAGAATAGAACACAGAGTCGAAGCAGTCTAACTTAGTCAGCAATCGAAGGAGAACTTACAGGACAATGGAAGACATGGATTCCATGAGTGAAAGAGGAAGAGGTCGGTAAATCCAAGGACTCGCCCGGAGAATTCAAAGAATACAAGGACCTATTCGCAAACGCAAAAACTCGAGGGAAAGCCGACGAAACTCTCCGAATGAGGACCATCTCTCTTCCTCCCTCCCAAGTTCAGAACCTTCCGAGCTCCTCAAGGCTCAGAACTCACAGCGCACAAACGAATCCACTGCAATAACAACAAATGAAATCCAATCAAATCCACTACCGAAAAAAGGAAAAAAAAATGAACAACACCAGAAAAATCAAATCCTCTAATGTTACCTCCTCCATTCCCTGACGGATTAACCAAGCTCCTTTGATGCCAATTGTTGCTCTGCTCGGAACAGAACCTGGCCTTAGCCTCAATCAAATCAACGCCAATGCCGCAAACGGAAGAGAAAGAGAGAGGATTCCAATTGCACTAATGGAGAAAGGGGAGAAGGAGAAGGAGAAGGAGAGAAGAAGACAGGTTCCGGAACCGGATCAGAGCTCCGGCGAATCGACGGTGAGAAAAAAATCAAAAAGGGAATGAAAATCTGGAGGTGAAGATAAACACAACAGATAGATAGAAGGGAAAATTAACGTGAGGATATATTTTCCCTTCGAGTCCATTCTTTTCTTCAAAGATATTGAAAATTTTTAAATTCAAATTAATTCCTTTTTTTTTTTAAATTCAAATTAATGTGGGAGATTAAATCTAAGATATTAAATATTTATGACAATTAATATCTGAAATTTTCAACTTTTTTTTCGCTTTACTAATTTTATTTTTTTAAATATAGAATTAATTAATTAATTAATTAAACGTGAGATAATAAATTAAATTTAACATTATTTAATATATTAGTTAATTAATCAAGTAAACTAAAATATAAATTAATATTTTTACATTGAAACATTAATTAAGAGTGATGTTAATTTAATTCAATTGTTAAAATAGTTAAATATGTATGATAAGTCTAGTTTTTGAGTTTTGATATTTATGTCTATTTTAAAATTTGTAATTTTAGTACTTTGTCTCTAAATAAAAATTCTGGATTAATTGCTTAAACAAAATATATTATTGCTTCTTTTTTTTTTTTCTTTATCGTTGATATATATTTTAACGAATTAAATTATATACAAATTGTCCCGATAAATATTATCTCGAGAATGAAATAAAATAAAATTATATTAAATTAAAATTCAGACTGAATAAAAAGAAAGTGAGAATGGTGATTTTCATTCGTATATTATTAGATTTGACAAGCAAATACAGAAGAAGAAGTTTGAACACAATGTACAAGCCTCTATGACAGTCTTATCCGCACAAGAAACCCAAAAACAATGGCTTCTCAATCAACACATATGCCTGTACTTTCACTTAACCCAATACACAAATCGATTTGAAGCTTTCGACAGCGTTTCTCGATGTTTTACTGCTAGGAAGATGACGGGAGCCGAGCGATATAGGTTCTCTTTAAACCTGTGGCAAGGCACATCTCCATGGAACTACCCTTCATTTGCAGAGGCTGCTGTGTTCTCGGGGTGCCTTGGTTCTTCGTCATCCCCTCAAACTACTACCTGTGTTTGCTGTAGCTACTACTCCTGCGCTCCCGCTCCCGCTCTCTAGTTGAGCCTCTGGGATGTCTTGACTCCCCCTGATCCCAGTCTGATGGTGGAGGGGATGGCTCGTACCTGGATGGCTTTCTCTTGAAATGCCTATCGTCGTCGCTCGACTCACAATCAACAGAAGCGGCTCTACTCCTACCACGAGCAGTCGCCGTTGTGACTGTCTTTGCCTTGTAGTCATCGTAGTGTCCACTGGATGATACCTTGTGATGTGCTGCTGAAGCACCAGAGTCGCTTGGTGGGGCTTCCTTTGAAGGGTGCAATTTCCGTTTCTTCATTGTCTCTTCCTCCTGGAAGCTAATGCGAGAAAACACGCTCGTCTTCTGCTTGCGGTCTGCGGCTGCACTGGTGGCAGATTTAGCCGAGACTTCAGAGGCTGCTTGGGACTCGGAATGTTGACGATGGCGATGGTGGCCATGGTCATAACGATCATTATTGTTATCCTTTTCAATACCATGATCAAGGTGCTCTGCCTTTCTTTTGCGTGGGGGCGGGCAAGGTGGTCCAGCATTCCTTGCAGTGTCGGGTGAGCTCTCAGGTCGGTGACGAATCTGGTTTGGTTCGCCTGTTGAAGTTTGAGGTGCAAACTTCTGTACATGATAAAGGAGAGGGTTCAGACAACCAATTTGACAGGGGTAAAATTTTGTGCATCTTTTCTCAACGAAGAAGATAAAACGTTTGAAGATAATTACTCGATAATAATACATCGATAAAAAGAGGTTCGTTATCTCATATTCTAAGAAGCAATCACGAACCTATAGTAAAAATCGGAGGTTGATAAGGAATTCGATTTTATCTTACATGTTTTACATGTTTTATCTTACAGGTAGATGAAGAATTTAGTGAAGAAAACTTGTCTTATCCTCTGCCAACTTACTAATGTCTGACCAAATTGATGGCATACAAGAATTCAAAACAAAACTAAAAATGCTGCACAGATATGAACACGACGTACAGATTTTTGTTTCATTGAAGAGACATCACCACCTCTGCTCACTTCCCTTCCGAACTCCCGATCTTTCGGTGGCTCCCGCTCCCTGCTGCAAGATGTTCCACAATAAATTTAGTTGATACATCATAATATCAACAATTTCCAGATTAATTGCATATGTATGGACAATGCTAATACAATTGAAAGGATATTTTCAAAACAGCTTAAAATGGCTTAGCCAATGAAGCCTACAGAGACACATTGAACCCAATAAGAGTCCAAAGATCACTCCCTGTCATTTCTCTTCCTAAAAGACCCACAGAACAACACACTCCAACCTGCCACAAAACCCTTTTTCTCTCACGAAAAGAGAGTATAAAGCTTCAAATTACCTTTCAACTCGTCTCTCATTTTCATGCTTCCTCCTCAAACTAGCTTTCCGAGCCTCAAATTCCTCACGGCTCATCGCGGGAGGTGCAATATTCATACCCATGCCAAAGTTCGCAAGATCCCTAAATATGTACAATATTGAAATCTCTTCAGCAATGATACAAAACAGTGTGAAAGCATTCGTTTGATAAAGTAGCAGAAAAACACAAAATAAATAGGATGGGGACAGACAATATGATGACATGCAATCAGTCACGTGCGCAAAAAGAAACACAAAGTAGATCTCATTAGCAATGAGTACATGCATTGCACATCCAGCTAAGCCCACAACAAATGGAAGCGGTCGATTTAGGAAACAGAAGTACACATATTATAACTGAGAGGTATGATACACAAAAAAGGCCATAGGATTACCAAAAGCTTCTAGACGGGCTAATAAGCAAAGTAGACTAGTTACAGAGGCTCTAGTTCAAAGGAAGTAATACAATTCATTAATATTTCATTTGCAATGCTTTTGAAAGAAATATTTTTAAAGAAAGAAACGCATTTCCTACAAACACTTCAAAGGAGGGGGGAGGGGTCTCTTCAAGACACTTCGACACCATGTCCCTTCCCTGCTCTTATCTTCAAAAGTTCTATCATTACATTTCAACTACAAGTACCACACAGAGACTTTTGCTATTCGATTAAAAAAAACTCATTAAACGTTTTTCTATTGAAACTTGTTAAGCATTGCAGTTCATATTCTTATAAAAAAACAAACTATTGCATTTCATATAAACTATGAAGGCATACCTCTGAGGCGGAGCAACAGGCAACATGTAATTTTGCATAGCAAATGGATCCTGAGGCATGACAGGTCCAAATGGCATGTCCAAGGGACCTAACCCATAACCACCCATGTACGGCATTGGAGCAGCATATGAAGACATGTATCCGTCAAAACCAGGTTGTGCGCCCATCCAATATGGGTTATATGGCGTTGGGCCACCCATGGGCATCATATAGTTCTCCATTGCAAGATCTTGAGAAGTTTTCCATTGTACGTCTGAGAGTCAGTCATCCACAATAATACCCCCGACATTAGAGCAAACTCAACCAAATTCTTGATAAAAAAAAATAAAATAAAAAATGCCAGGAGTGTAGAAATATTAGAGTAAAAACATCATGCAACAGATTTGAATACCATTTGCAGGCATGCGAACATTCTTCTTCTTCTTTTTCTTGACTGTATCAAAAAAGAAAAGATAATAAGTTCCAATCCAAATTATAATAACATAAGAGTAAATCAACATGGTGTATGCCACAGAAATTTCACTTCTCAGATTGCAAAAAATAACTAAGTGGAGAAACTTCTTTAAATTAAGTTGTCCATAGCAAACCAACATATTTCAAACACGCGCACTATTCCTAATAATATTACCTGCCTCACTAGCAGCCATCTTCTGCTGTACTTCTTCATCAACTATTAAAGCGCTTCCTTGTGAAGCTTGTTCCTTCACACTCATCGACTCATGTGTAGCTTCAGATACGTCAACTGCTTTTGTGGCCTTCACCTTCTCTAAGCTCTGGGGTCCAGAAGTAATAGCTTTTTCCTCATTTACCTGCTTGGTCATTGTAGTCTCTTCGTTGACTGACTGTATATTTATTTCTCCCTTAGAAGCAGCAGATATGGTAGGGGAAGGAACCTTTGGCTGTGCAATGCGAGCAGATTCCATATCTAAACATGAATTATCAACCAGAATAAGTCATAATATAGCAAAGAAAAATCTCAGTCCAAGTGAAAGACCAAAACTATAAAACGTATACCTTGCACCTGAAAGGTACTACCAGCATTATCAGCACTACTATTACCAGACTCCAGAATGCGATTGATTGTATCCCTGAGTGTCTTATTTGGCAAGAGATCATCTGCAAGAATGTTGGTCGCTCCACAAGCGCATGCTGACTTAGAGATAATATGGTCCCTAATACCTGTGACAAACGTTTTACACATTCAAAAAGCTAACTTTTAGTATGCGCAGGAGAGGCATGCATAATGTTTTAAGAACTCACAGTAATTAACAGGGTCAAGCTAACTGAACGGTAACTAACACTTGAAATAACTGGAGTTCTTAATTCCAAAAGATGTTATTTAGTAAAAAGAACCACGTGGTAGTAATAGTTACAAAATTGTTAGTCTTACATTTATCACAAAAGCTCATAAAGCAACACTTGCTTGTTAAGACAGCATCTTTCATAACCTCCTTGCACAGAGGACAGTGAAGCTCAGGGGGAAAATCACCAACTGAACGTGTCGAAGGTAGTCCTTCAATTTCCTTCTCAAAAGCAGCCCTGTTTCGTTCAGGTATGATGAATGAATGACTAGAGTAGACCAAATCCACAATTAAACTGAAACACACTGAAAAATATATCTTACTCATTCGGCCTCAAGACAGCTACAGCACCACTTGGCAATGCATATGAGCCATCAGGAGTGGCCATCAGCATAGACTTTGGAATCCCAGTGGGAGGCTTCACTCTTTTTATGTCAAAAGTTGGATCCCCATTTGTGGGGCAATGTTGAATAAAATGTCCTGGACACAGAAAATAATACATTCAGATCCCCACAGAAGGTAAGGAAAATGAAAAGAGAAAATAGCTAAGACAAAAAATGCCT